GAAGCATCAGACGTTGTTACTTAAGGTAGCAAGGATGAATGAGAAGTGTACTTAAAGACCTCTTTTTATGATTTCTGTAACTTAGATTTACTGTCTTTATTACCAAACTTCAAGGAAGGTGGTGTAGTGGGAGTGGATATGGAGTGGCAACCATCATTTGGTTGTATTTTGACTCAGTCTCAAGTTGCTCTGATTCAACTGGCTGTTTCTGAACACGTTTTCTTAATAGACCTTTGTCAAAAAAGTTTCTGTCAGCATCCGGAAACTTTAAATTTTATCAGGAAGCTCTTCTCTAACCCAAATATTCTTAAACTGGGTAATGTCTACTTTAACAAGTTTTAGAAATTTAAATCCAGTTTCACTTTCTTCTTTGATGTCTATGTCTTTTGTGTATTTCCTTTCAGGTTATGGTATGTCAGGGGATGTCAAGTGTCTTTTGGCCACCTGGCCCCATTTAATAGATCAGCCTCTCAAGATGCAAGGGGTGTTGGATCTTCTCAATGTTCACCAAAAGGTAACAATAACCTTCACTTAACTGTATTAAGCAATTTCAATTTGTGGTTAAAATAAGAATTCTATAAATACAATATGTCATATGGCATTTTGTGGTACACAAATTTTACATTGCCAGGTAACATTCCTGGGACATTCAAACAATAAATGCACTTTATTTTAAGACACCTTCCTGTTTAAATCCAAAATAATCTCTTTAAAAAGGCAAACTTATTTTGTGTTTGCATTTGTAATGACTTTAACAGATTCAGCGCAGTAAGAAGAAGAGGACACAGAATGGCCCTAAAGAGGTGCTGGTTGGCAAAGACTCATCAGAGAAAGGCCTCAGTCTGCTCGTGAAACAGGTCCTGGGACAGCCCCTAGACAAAACAGAACAGATGTCCAACTGGGAGAAACGGCCACTTCGCATCAGTCAAATTAGATATGCAGGTAAGCTCTAATGTATGCACTGTCACACATTGAACTCAGGACAACTGGTATGTGCGCTTCTCAGTTGAACTTCAAATCCCTTATTACTATTATTATAAAATTTACACAAAAACACTCCAATTTGTATCATTGATCTTGTCCCCTTAGTGGCTGATGCGTACTGTCTGGTGGATGTATACAATGTCCTGTCTAGCAGGCCAGCAGATTTTGGGCTGCCTGCAGATCTGCGCACCATCTCAACCAGTCAGACAGAGAATGTCAAAGAGAAGAAGCAGAAGAATAAAGAAGAGAACAGCAAAGAGGTCAATAACTGTTGTACCTATTTCCGTTCTAAAGGCAGCATGCAGTTTGTTGCAGAAAATATATGTTATACAAAACATCAGCACATTTTCAATTCACTTAACTTCTTTTTTTCAATCTTTTGTCTCAAACTAAAATTAAACTGTGAAGTGTATTTCAATCAGTGCTGTAAATTAAACCATTAACTTTTAAGTTGAATCTTCAGATCAGTGAAAAGTGGAGATGCATTTTCTTAAAATGAAGACCAGATACACAAGACTTCTCAGCAGTGCCTTTTAGCTCTGGGGGGTGCTATTGTATAGATCCCCCTTTACTTTGACCTCCCTTCAGTGCGGTACAAGTGAAAAGAAAATCCCCCTGTGGGGATCAGTTAAGTATCACATTATTGTCTCTCTCCATTTAGGAATGTCATGGGGCTCGAAGGGTCAGTTCCACTAGTTCTGCTGCAGAGAAAGGCCTCCTGTGTGGGAAGCTGTCCTGTGAGGACCTCCCCCCTGTACCCCCACAACAGCTTCGGGTGGTATGTGACAACATGCTGCAGGGGCTGGGCAGGTACCTGCGCTGCTTAGGAGTGGATGTAGTAATTTTGGAGAACATTGATGACCACAAGAAAGCAGCAGAGGTCAGTAAATCCTTGAAATATAATACATCAAGGATGAGAAAGAAAAATCATGATATGCATATAATGTTCAAAGTTGCAGCCTCCCTTTAATTAAGTGTATATTCCCCCAACATGGTGTCCAACTTCAGTCCCAGGCCCAGATAATTATTCTGTATAGATACGTTTACAGATACATTTATATCTGGTAGTTTAAGACTGAATCATGAGTCTTTTTATGTATCAATTATAAGTTTAAAATTATTAATATGGGATTACTTTAAAATTTGAGGAACAAAAAATGACTTTACAAAGCAATAGCTTTGAACCATGTATGTTGCGTTTATTTATTTTTTTCCAATTGATGTGTTCTCAGTTAGCACATCGGGAAGGCCGTATTATACTCACTTGTGGACAACCCTACCAAAGTGTAAGTACATGCTAAACTTAACCATATTACCATATAGGAGTATATTTTCAGAACTCCTTTACTCAAATGTAAATATTCCTTTGCAGTTACGGTCTCAGGTGGGCGAGGGCCGCTGTCTCTTGCTGGAGTGTTCAGAGAAGGCCAGGGACCAGGCTGTTCGAGTTCTCAGACACTTCAATGTCAAGCTAACCCCCAGTGACATATTCAGTCGCTGTCAGGTACTAAAACATCTTCTGTTTTTGCTTATATATTAACCCCAAAATCCTTTAAACAAAACAATGTGAACCACTATATAATTACAAAAGTCATAGCAGCCATGACTTTGTTACCACTGCATTAAAATATACAGGAAATGAGAGTAAAAGAACTTAGCTAAATGGTAAATTTTACTGTGTGAAAGAGAGAAACCACTTCAGTTCCTTTATTTGTGAGAACCAGCATCAATACGCAGGCAATATTTTTGTGGTTAGAAAACACTGTTGAGCTGATTGAATGCTTGAATCATGAGAACCAGGATTGTGGTCACTGTGGAGCATTGTGTAAGAAGCAATGAAAAGGGGAAGAAATTAATACAGTAAAAGGGAAACACAATGGGCCTTTTAAAAGATACCCGTCACTTTACAATTCTGAGAAAATGTTATGTGTCAAGATGTGAGGCAGTTCAATTATGGAATATGAAATATATATTCACCTCCACAATATGCACTGCAGGGATCATACTTTAAAGAGGATATTTTACCCACATATACTCCACACAGAAAGGGCTGAGCATCCTGGGGATCAAATCCTTCTTGCTGTGAGGTGACCGATCAGCTACCGTGCACCAAAACAATGACCTATGTATGTTAATGTTTTATACTAAATACCTGAAAAAAAAAGCCTCCTTTAACTGTCCCATAGGGGCTTGGCAATGAAGGCAGTAGTCAATTATAGATACTACTAGTTGACAAAGGTCATACTACTAGTTGACCAAAGTATCTCTTGCATTTTTTTCTCATACCTTTAGGTTATGTAAAATAGTCTGGATGACCTCATTGCACTCATGGTTGTGTGAAGTTCTATAGGGACCAGAGTGAAAGCAGCATTATCGCCCAAGTACCTTTTCCTCAATGACACAAACTCTTGCCTGTGCTCTAAGATACTCTCTAAATGGGTTGCTCTGCATTCAGCCCAGCCCTACTTAGTGAGATGTGTGAAGCCTGGAGAGCTTGTTTGTTAGGCATCCATCAGTGCAGAATTTACAGTGGCTGACCTGTGGATGTCTCCATGGGTGGCTGTTTAGAAGAACCTGTGTGTGCTCTGTCAGCCTGTTGTGTTTTTGTGTGTGGCACTGTTTAGGAGGGGGACATTTTTAAAACTTGGGTGTTCTGGCCTACTCTTTCTAGGGGGGCCTCAGTTGTGTCAAGATGAGTTACATTTGTCTCTGAACTAAAATGTTCAAACTTAGTTGGACCACCTCATTGCTATATTGTCTTACGAGCATGATGACTCCTCAGTGATGGGGCCAAATGGTACAACATTTTTAGCTCACTTTAAAAAGGTGAGACATAATTTGCCCAAGCAGCACACATATGGTACCCTCATAATTTTGTTATTTCAGAGTTGTGTACATATGATGCATCTTCTCATTAGATTGATGAAAGTCAGCACAAAATCAGATTACTAGCATGAGGTTATTTTGTGGCACAATATTTTTTTTCCATTAGCAGTGTAGTACCAACCACATTGATGGGCAGGGTGCAATAATGACAGAATTTACTGCTTGTGTGATTGAAGTTATGAGTTTGTGAAATACTGTATTTAGATCAACTGTGTCTGCAGCCCTACAGTGTTTCTTTTCAGTGAAGAAGAACTAACAGTAGGTATCCAGCTCAAGTACACTGCTGTTCTTTTATAATGATCAAATGTAGTTGTTAATTAATACTAACCGTTGGATGGACCTGATTTGTATATGAGTGAATTGGGGAAAGAGGAGTCTCACCCCAGGGGCAGCTCTTTGGCCCACCCAGGCGAAGTTCACCCCTTTGTTATCTGATTGTAAAGCTCTCTGATTAGCATCGGATGGGTTAGTTTCTCGGCCTTTGTCTGGGTGGCTATGCCTCATACACACCGGTGAATGCTGTGAGGAAAGAGAAGTAGAAAAAGACAAGAGCACAGGAGATTACCGGAGACGTGTGTGAGGACTGTGAAGGGAAGGGGTTAATGTTTGTGTCTGTGTATCAATAGGCCACACAGATTTTGGAGGCTTTGGAATGCGTCTCCACCAGAGACCCCAAGAGGGGAAGTGAAATGTAGAAGGGCCTCCTGTTTGTCTGTGCTCTGCTGCATACTTGCACTGGGATGAGGAAAATGGTGTCTGCAAATATCGCACATTTTCATATAGTTTGACTAAAACTATAAAACTAAAATTGGTAGCAGGTTTGAAAATGTGGAACTGCAGAGTAAAAAACACATATGTAATTGAGCCATCTGTAGCTTGGTTAGCAAAAATGAAACCACAATCAATGCCACATCCTTTTATTGTGTTTTTAAATGTTTTCTATAATGCCTGAGAGTGATACATTACTGAATAGGAGTAAGATCACAGAATGGCGGAAATAACTGAGAAATATTTGTGTTGTGTTGGCAATGGCATAATCTTATGTGTGCTAGGATTGTTTAGTCAACACTGAAGTCCAAACCTGCCTTCTCCCCTAGAATAGACAAATACTTTACAGCTGAATGCTTTGATGTGTTAAATCTATCCCTTCAATGATCCTCTACAGATCATGTGCATTCAGGTCAGTGTCCCCATCCAGATAGGGTAACAGGCACGCACACACCGTTTTAGACTCGACACTATTGCAGCAGAAACGCTGGTTCCCACGCACCAGACTACTGGGGAAGTGAAAACAAGAGCAACAGGAACTGCCACACCGTGAGAGGGAGGGTGGGAGAGACTGGGGTGGGGGAGTGGGGGTCATGGGGGGAGTGAGCGTGGTGACAGGAGGACTGAGCACAGAGGTGATAGCATAAGAGTAACAAATTAAACTGAAGGATATAGGATTGGGAAAAAAATCTCTTGGTTTAATGATAAGAATTCAACATTGTAATTTAACCTGTGAGATTTAGTATGTGCTGAGGGAAAGTACCGTACGCGGCTGTGAAAAGTGGCACCAAAGGAGGATGAGCAGGGCAAGGAGGGCGAGGCAACAGAAAGACTTGTTGTCTATATGCTTTCATCTACAAAGGACGCCGCAGGCTGAGAACTAGAGGAATGCAAGGGGTTGAGACACGTTTAAAGTTACCCTTCACCAGCTATGTGTATCTGTGCTTGTGAGAGGCCTATATTTAGTATGTCAACCATTGCATTGCCAGACGACAACATGATTTTAATTGAGCTAATAAACAATCAAAATAATTAGATTTGATTTATTTACTGTTTTTTTGATGATGTCTGTTGAAAAAACAACTATATTAGATCGGATATCTGTGCATTTTGATTTTAATATTGTGTCATTACAGCCTATGGCTCATACTTACATACTACAGTTCATCACTAATAAATAAGGAGTCCACTTTGTGTATCCTGCTGTTTCCCTTTCTTTCCGCGTTTCACAGATATGACTAGAAGCGACACAGAGAAAGGGGAAAGGGGGACATGGTGGGGAGGGGGGCATTCCTCAGGCACGCCAAGACATTCCGAGGAAAACCATCCCAAATATTTCCCACTGTGTGCGGTGAGTGTTATGCGTTGCTGTTATGCTTACAAAGCTCGCTTGAGAAAGTGCTTGAGAACTTACTGTTTTAAGTATTGTTAATTTTGGATGGTCAGAAGCATCCACAGACACTAATAGAAGCTCTGTGTGTCCAGACTGTAGCGGTGGTTTGCTTGGACATCTTCCTGCTTGTTTTCAGTTGATCGGCGACTTGCTGTCTCTGTGTCAGTCTGCATGGGGAGTCCCATCAGGAAGAGCTATTGTCATACTTTTCACACCACTGTGCATGTTTATGAATGAGTCTGCAAGTACATCATGACCATGATGTTTTCTGGCTCTAGTCAGGGATTTCCTGCTCCAAAATCAGAAAATATCAAGGTCAAACCAGAATAGAAAACAGCAAGGAAATATAACATCATTTCATAAAACATTAGTAGATTACCATCAAGGATTTGTCTAGGCTAGTTTTCTTCAGAAGAAGCACATTTACACAAATAAAACATTTAAAGTTAGATCAGGACACATACAAGCCCTCACTCAGAGCATCTGGTTTTGAAATATCTTTCTTACTCTTTTCCCACAATCGCTTGGGCCCCAGGACAACATTGCACTGCAGTGACACCTGCACTGTGCACACATGATGCATATCTGTGTGTGTGTGGTGCAATGTATACTTCTGAGGTTCAAGTGGAGAAGTTAGAGAGTGTATGTGTGAGCTTTTGTGGGTCCCTCTGGTGAGAGTTTTGTGAGCGAGTTTAGACCTGGTTGTCTGGAAATGATATAAAGCTGCTGCCTTTTATGATCGTCTGTATTTTCTGTCTTCAAAAGGCTTCATTCTTTTTTGGATGTTGAACACAGCCAATTTCAGAGGATGCCAATTGCCTGTTTTAAGATGTCTGCATTAGATAGGGAATTATCTCTGCTTTGTAAACCTGTTCTATCAATCAGATGATCATTTTATTGTCCAATGCCTGTACGGCCTCCAAACTGAAATTCATACTCTGAGATTTTGATTGAATGCATGTTGTATTTCATCACTTCCTCTAAACATATATTTTGTACCTCTGTTTATCCCAGCTTCCCACTTTCCCCTTCCTGCTTCCTGTCCAGTTGGAGCTCTCTAGATCCTAGTATCAGTATCCTGCTCACCCTCAGTGTGACTCCCCACATCTCCCTCTCTCTCCCCCGGCTGCTCCACTCCCAGTCTCACTCTCCGTTTCAGATTAGCCAAGGCGAGGAATCCGGTGCAGCCGGCAGCTGGAATGTCCTGTTTGTCTTGCTCTGTGTGTGTGAAGCTGGTGAGGCTGGTGCTGCTTTTTGATGTGTTCCATTGTCTGGGAGCCAAGCTGCTTCCTGTCCCCGGCTCCATTCCCCAGCAGGCCTGAGTGAAACACTAGCCAGGGGAGAGGACTGACAGAAAATGCACTGATGGGTTGTGATGGAGCAAGGCATGACATAAACTAGAGGAGGAAGAGGCTGTGATTAAGATGGCTGTGATAATCCTGGGTGTGATGGAGGGA